TAGGATATGCACTGATTTGAAGATAGTTGTGTGTGTATTTATTGTTCAGTTAGTTGATGCTTTTACATACATATCAGCATACATATACTGTTTTATGAAAGGTATTCATTCCATGCACTGGTAATAAATAATAGAGGGTCGGCAAGGGGTGTTTTCATAAGCTGTTATCAATTGTTTATATTTTCGTAAAAATTAATTTAAATAAATGAAAAATATGAGTTCATAGACATGGGCAAGGTGTAAAATGTAATCAGCTATTTTATAGCATCCGTGTATAAAGCTTTTTCCAAATTAAATGTCGTAATTCATACGCAATTTTGATTAGAACACAAATTATCAAAAATATTATAAAATGAAAATGTAATTAAGAATTTGCTTTATTTGTAAAGTATAAAACTATTTTTTTACTGTAAATGAAACTTTCATTTTATTTTCTGTAAAAACGTAAAATGCATTTTCATTTTTTGTAACCTGTACCAGCTATCCCCCCTTGCCCTCCCTCATAATAATGTAAAGACATTTTACGTAAGGAGAAACGGTTCTACCATTTACATCTTCATCTCTCATAATCTTTTTCATGACTTCAAAGTAATTATTTGTGTAAAAAGAATTCTATTTCAGCATGTTGTGATTTTGATATTATTATAATTTCATGTTACATGAATTCAATTTGTTTATTATTTATTTACTTTTTTGTGGTGTAATTGTATGTGATTATTTCAATCTACATTTACATAGCACAGAATACACTCAGGATAGTCATGCATCTACTCATTTTGCTTTTCTGCACTCACTATAGGTACATACTAGTTCACTGTCAGCAAATACTGAAGCTGAATTAATCATTGTTTTGCAAATCACTCTGCACTTCTCTTCTCAGCCAATTAGAGAAGTTGAACCTTTTCCATGCTATTCATATTTCAAAGCAAACTTAGGACTGGATATTAATAGCCAGGTGTAATTATTGCAGAGAGCGAAAACAAGATTTGTACTTGCACATTCCTGGGAAAGTTTTTATCAATGTTCCAGTCACCCCATCAAGTTCCTCCAGATGATTGAAGCGACAGCAAATGAGATTTATACAGATAACTTATAATCTTCTTTGTATGGTCACAACAATGTTACAATATGAGAACAGACTACAACGTTGCCATAGTATGTACCTAGACAAAATTGAATCAGTACAAAATTAAGTGGCACCAGGGGAAGTGAGATTGGCACAAAATGTAGCAAATATTTTCATAACATATCAGATCAATTGATAGCACCAATATGAAAATATCTTACAATGTTCATAGGGACTTTCCTAGGGAGTCATAATCTTGTTTGGGCTTGCTGTAAGTTTAAATACTTTGTTTGTATTCGGCCTGTGTCAAGTTACCGTATTTACTGATAATAGTAATCAGGATTGATAAGTGTTTGACTAATTTTGAGACATGACGTAGTGCTGTCAAATGGATGCAAAGAACCTTAGCACTGCTTCAGCAGCACCATTCCAGACCATCAGCATTTCACCTATTTGCTGACATTGTCTTTACCACAAGCACTCACAAACCAAATCCTATATATCTCACCCTTCTCACCATTTCCTTCTTCACAATCTCACCGTCAAATAGAAGAAAACAAAAGGAACTGAAAAAGATAGGCCTAGTTCTAGTTTCAGTACCGTTGAATGTGAGATTGATCGCAACGTGAGTATACCGGGGCTGTGCATGCCGTGTGTTGATCAGCACTTTAAAGTCTAACAACAAGTCACGATTCACTAACTGCTTCTGTGTGTTGTGTGATCTATCTGTCCTACCTAAAGTTGGACAGAGAACATTCATGTTTTTGTTTTTTTGCAGTTTAAACTGATTTATACTTATTGCATGCATGAAAACTATTTTTTTATAGTCATGGTGTTTTCTGAATCATTGTGAGACATAAACTATCTATAATGTAAACCATTACATTTTCCAGCAATCACACTTACATATGGTTTATACAGACTTTGTGTGCATCACAATATCATTTGTGATCACTACTGTTTGTATTTAATATGGTTACCATATGCATCAGTAAGATGCAAATACAGGGGTGTAAGGTGTGTTTGCAGTGGTGCGGTGCATGGTTTGTTGTGGTTGGTGGCGGTAGTGGTGACAAAATTATTGTAAATATCGAAAATTGATTGCGTTTGATTGATGTTACAACTGTAATTTCATTTGATTACATGATTCATCATAGTCAAAATAGAAATGATATTATGGCTATTTTCCTGTGATATTAATAAGAATTATTTCAGATATCGGAATTATTATTTTTTACAGGATTGTTTAATGTTCTTTTGAAGTAATTTAAGTGTTTTTTTTTATCAGTAGCAATAGATGCTTAATGTTTTTTTGTTGTTTTCACACTTTTTGGTAAGACGCATATGATGTGATTTTTGCACATAGTTCACATGAGATACACTTTAAAAATGCTTTGTAGAATAAACGCAGTTTCACCCAACACTCAGTCAGATGCTGTGGTAAGACTTAAACTTTGTAACATTGGCAGTGAGTGAAGTTAAAAAAAAATAATGACTTTTGCAGCAGTTTGTAAATACTGTTGATTAATTTGTATATGATTGCTCAACAGATTCCAAGTCCTAGTGATGGTGTCTTAGTGCATGGTCTATTTGTGGATGCTGGTCGTTGGGATGATGAGACAATGCTTTTAGCTGATGCCTTACCTGGAGAAATGAATCCACCTTTACCTATTATGCATATGGAGCCCATGATGAACTTTGAACCGGATGCATCAAGTACTTATAAATGTCCGTTGTACAAAACTGGTGCCCGTGCTGGTGTCCTATCAACAACAGGTCAGTAATTTAAACTTTCCACTTCAACATAAGCCAGCTGGCAGTAATTTTATGATTAACAACAGTGTCAACAATTGGTAGCTACATCTTTATTTAACTAAAACTACATGATATATAGTGTGTGTTTTTTCAGGGTGATGATCATATTATTTTTGACATTCATTTTATGGCCACTAGACAGATCAAAAATGTTTGAAACCATTCTAATTGTCAGTTTCATTTTTTTTTATACAGGTCATTCCACCAATTTTGTTGTTGCTGTATATTTACCTTCTGACAAACCACAAGATTACTGGATATCGAAAGGCTCAGCTTTGCTTTGTCAATTGAATGAATAAAAGATCACTGTCACAGTTGTGATTTTGTAAATTTATGTGATTATATACTTGTATAGGAAAATTATATTAACAGTTACTTTTGATTTGTTTGTCTCTCATGGTTTTGTGAAAATTGTGTCATTATTTTTTTCTGCATATTTCCGTCCTATTTATAATAAAAACTTGAATATCACAGAGCAATGAACACATTTTGTATAGAATAGATTCCTATCATGGATCACATTATAGCCGTCCATTAATAACATTCCATATCTTGAAGATTTCAAAAATGGAAGAACTCACCTTGCTGTATAAATAAATAATATAAATGATAATTTCAGTAATTTATCCCAAACTATTGTAAATATCACCCCTCATACGTATTTGTGTGTATACCTAATGTTATCAAAATATTTCTATTCCTAATTTTTGTACTGAGTGATTTCTTTTCCCTCCAATTTTCTTGAAATTGATTTTATACATTACCAGTGGAGTTTACTATATTCCAGGATTTTTAGGAGTGAAAGGATGTTTTGAATTATACAATTGCAGGGCTTGAAATCTGAAGTTGAGAGGACACCCATTTTCAAAA